ACTGTTCTATCTGTACTCTGAACGGATCTCTCACCCACTGTTCTATCTGTACTCTGAATGGATCTCTCACCCACTGCTCTATCTGTACTCTGAACGGATCTCTCACCCAGTGATTCTGGAACTTGGAATTGCTGCTTCACTGAGATCTTGCCGATGCTGACGCATTTCAGTATGCAACAGACATAGTTAAAAAATTACACCTGTTAATGTTGCTCAGAGTACATCAGAAGAGCCCAAGAACTGGGAGGCTATCAAGATCATGAAGGCAGTTTTTCAAAATTCTCATTTTTCCTTGAAAACTAATCTTATCATGGGTAACAGATACTACCAGTTCTTTCTTTGATGTGACAGCCTTGCTTCTTCGCTTTTTTTTTTTTTTAAGATTTTTTATTTATTTATTTGAGAGGCAGAGCTACAGATGGTGACAGGGAGAGAGAGAAAGGTTCTCCTTCCACTGGTTCACTCCCCAAATGGCCACAATGGCTGCAGCTGCGCTGATCCAAAGCCAGGAGCCAGGAGCTTCTTCCAGGTCTCCCACGCGAGCGTGGGACCCAAGCACCCAGGACATCCTCCTCTGCTTTCCCAGGCCACAACAGAGAACTGGATTGGAAGAGGAGCACCCGGGAGTAGAACTGGTGTCCACATGGGATGCTGGTGCCGCAGGCTGAGGATGAACCCACTGTGCCTCGGTGCCGGCCCCAGGCTTGCTTCTTTCTTGAGAAAACGTCTATCAAATCTGCAACTCTGAACATCACGTCAGTTGGTCTTCCATGAAAGAAACAAGGTGACAAGCCCCTGGCTCTGCGGGTGCTGCCTTATCTCATGTGGAGATGAGGAAGCAGCCACATCTCAGCCCGGGGCTGCACTGGCACCCGGCCAACTCTGCCAAAGCCACCTCTGACGCCAGCTGCAAGACCCACCGTAACCTGACCCCATGCTCACCACGCTTCCTCAGCAGCATTCGCTGACCCATTCCAGTCTATGGGCTCCACTTGCGACCACAACACAGAGGCGCTGTACACAAGGACGTGAAGTGGAGGGCCAGAGCTGAGGGGCAGTAGGCTAAGCCTGTGCCTGGGCGCCAGCATCCTATCTGAATGCCAGTTGATGTCCCGACTGCCCCTCTTCCGATCCAGCTCTCTGCTGTGGCCTGGGAAAGCAGTGCAGGGTGGATCAAGTGCTTGGGCCCTTGCACCCACGTGGGAGACCTGGGAGAAGTTCCTGGCTCCAGACTGGCCCAGCTCCAGCTGTTGCAGCCATTTGGGGAGTGAACCAGTGGATGGGAGACCTTTCTCTCTATTAACTCTACCTCTCAAATAAATTATTAAAAAAAAAAAAAAAAGGGAAAGTGAATGAGTTTGGAAAAAACAAGTGTTCAGTCCAGCTTGCAAGCTGGCCGGCGCTCTTCCTGGCCGTGCCTGGGCACTTCCTGCACCCTCGTGCTGAATACGCACTGCTCCCCCCAGGTCATTTCCACGTGAGCTGGCACTCTCGCCTGCGGCTGCTGCCTGACCTGTGCTGAGGGGACGCCCTCTCAGTGCAGTCAACACTGTGGACAAGGCAGTCAGCACTGAATGTGGGAGAGCAAGAGCGACTTCATGCGCCTGCGAGTCCCAGGTCCCAGCGGGTTGTCTGCAGGACAGCACCAGGCACAGACGGAAAGGAATCCGGAACAGGAGCCTCCCGTGCCAGCCTCGTACCCGGCACACCTCTGCAAAGACGGTCCCTGGATGGAAAACTGGCGTCAAACGAGCAGAGACCTGTACATTTTTGAAAAATGTTTTTGACAAGGATGAGTTTATTTTGGTGCAAAAATACTTTGAAATGCCTGCCTAGTTTTTTTCACAATATGCGCTTTCTATGAACTGGGTAGACACGTTTCCCAATCACAATTCTTTCCGGATCCTGCCGGTGGCCAGGACGTGTCTTAAGAGCATCTGCCTGTCTGAATGCGGCCTCACAAGGCACCTCTGAGATGGAAACGTTGTTACAATTTCGTATTTTTTAATATCTGAGGATTTGGAATATTATAATAACTTCTAAAATAATTAGTATTGATGTAGTCCCCCTTATTTTCTTTTTCCTTTGTTTAAGGTATACGAACTTCATGCGCTTCATAAATACAACTTTAGCAACACAGTGATAGTGATTCTTCCCTCTGTACGCCCTCTTCTTCCTCCTCCCTCTCCTAGTCTTGTTATCTTTTACTAAGATCTTTTTTCAATTAACTTTATACACAGAAGACTAACTCTACACTAAGTAAACATTTCAACAAATAGTATGAAAAACAAAACAATGTCAACAGTTTTTTGATTTTTCTGTTGATTTCTTCCATGACCCACTGTTCATTCCAGAACACAGATCTGTACATGTTTCTAACTGGCTTTATGCTGTAACGTTTCTGCCACGAAGCAGCATAATTAAGCTCTTAGTTGTGAACCATGAGTGGGAGAAACATATTTCCCTTTAAAAAATTAAACTATGTTACACATATTCTTTAATGGTTCACAAAATTTATCTGCAAAAGCCTGAAATCCCCCCTGAACTTAAGAAATCGAAGGGGAACACATTTATCCTAAGGAGCCATGAGAATTCACAGGATCCAGAAAATGGGCATTTCACAGGGCAGGGAAGCTCCTGAAGAGAACACAGACTCATTTCAGACCCGCTCAACTCTTGACAGAAGGCGTGACTGCACACAGGACCTAATCTGCCCGGAAGTGAGCCCAGCACTATCATGACTTTCTAGTCACTAAAACTTTTACTCTCGGGGTTGCCAAATTTGGCCTTGAAAGGCCAAATACTAAAAGTATGAATCTGTGTGGCCATACTGCTTTGTCACAGCTACTCTGCCTGCCTGGAGAGAGACCAGTCAGCAATGACACACAAACTCATGGGCGTGGCTGTGTCCCAACCAAGCTTCGGGGGACAAGAAGTGCGCTGGCCTGTTTGAAACAGGTGCACCCTGGCGGAGGACAGAACAGTTTCTGGCTATGGAATGGGCCTCAAAATATGCACTGTGAAAATATCTCTGAAAAACAAATGTGAGATTTGAAAAGTTAAGCAGAACTAGCCTTTGTACTTAAAATCAAATAGCTTAGAAAAACAAAAATGCCTAACCACTCTGCCTCATGACTCTTAAAATTTTTAAAAATTAGCCAGAATTATTAAAAATCCAACAGACTGTGGTATAGAAAAATGTTTAGATGAAACAGCTGTTGAGTTGCATGAGTTTCAGGAAAGGTATCAAGTACTCAAGGCTACGCTGCACTGGGGTAAAGCACAAAGAAAGTGCACTCCGTGACCCGCTCCACAGCATGCCCGAGAGGCAGGGAGCAGCAGTGAAGCCGTCGTGCAAAGGACAAGGTGAGGCTTGCACAGGCGGGTAACTCGCGCAGAGCCAGCGGCCTGTAAACAGCACGACCCGAGGGAACTGGCCCACTCGCCTTGAAGGCTCAAGAAATCAGAGTGTCCTCCTCTCCCTACTGAACCGCTACGCAGTCACCACTGAATTACAGGGGCGAAGCCCGGAGGTCTCGGGACGAGGGGCTCTCTGTATTTCCAGTGATCACTAAGGATTTGCTACGAAACCAAGAGAACTGTGCTGGCTTTCTCAGAGCCCAGCGCAGCAGGTGAGGTGACGTGGTTTGGCCTCTGGACTGAGGCACTGGCTGCCTCTACGCTCCTGCAGAACTGTGCTACGCACCTGCATTCCCTTTACATGGGTGATGTGCTTACCGACACCCAGTTCAAATTGGTGAAAATCTAAGTCAGCAGGCATCAGGATAAAAAATTAGCACAACATGAGGTGGGCATCTGGTGTAGTGACCACATTCCTGCATCAGGATGACTGCGTAAGTCCTGCCCTGGTCCTGCTCCCTGCAATGCGTACTCTGGGAGGCAGTCGCATCTGGGTCTCTGCCACTCATGTGGTGTGAGCTCCCAGCTCCTGGCTCTGGTGGGCCCCACCCTGGTGGCTGCAAGCATTTAAGAAGTGAACCAGTGGATGGGAGGATGAACTCCGTGTCTCTGCCTTTCGAATAAAAGAGAAAATAAATTAAAATGAAAAATTATTAATTGGTGCAATATTTAAATAGTACTTTTTGAACATTTTTCAAAACAAAATTAAAAAAGAAAAAACAAAATGAAGTAAATAGTTGTCAAAACGTACTATACTTTTAGCTAGTAAGATATGACATCACAGGTAATCACTAGCTGCACAAATGCTAGTTCTCTATGGACCTGGCAGGAAAAGGTCTGACTAGGATTATTCCTGGCTGTACCTGAGAACACCATCCTGTCAAAAGCAAAAGGTGCCGCGTATTTGTCAGTCTCAGGACAATGTTTAAGGGTCACCTCTGCCCAGATGCTCAGCCCCAGCCCACCCCAGCGAGTGGAAAGGCCCGGCTGCCTGTCTGGAGGCAGAGGCCCACGAAGGGATCCGGATGCGAGCGGGCGGCCAGGACCCAAGGATGCTGCCAGCAGAACCTCCCAAGGAAACCACAGCAAGCACACGTGCTCCTTTTCCCACACAAACCACCCCGCGACAGACAGCAGACAGGCGACAGTGGACACAAAGCTTTCAGTGAAAACAAAACACAAACAGGAGTATGGTCAGCTAGAACTGGGCTCCTTTTAAATAAAGAACCCCCCTGGTCCCAGTTAATGTTTTAATCCAGACTGGATCATCAGGGAGATCTCAGACAACCAACAAAAAAAACCTCCCCAAGGCAGGCAGGCAGGCAGGCAGGCGAAAGAACCGGAAGCGCACTTTAAGATCCCGTCCAATTCCACCGCCGGCCTGCGCAGCCTCCACCTTAAGTGCACCTGCGGGGAGTGCGAGGAGGCGCAGACAGGAAGCAGCTGGCTGCATCGCAGGCATTGCAACTGTCACTCTCAGAGACCTGGCATCTGTTTTCCCCAAAGCAATGCTGCCAACACCACAGATCGCCACGCTGGTTAACAAGCGGCTCCCGCACTGGGCCTGGGGCCTTGGCTACCTTGGGTGGTGCTTCGTCAGCCCCTCCAGAGTCCCAGGACACCGTGGCCTGTCTTCTGGACTCCATCCTCATGCGTTCTTCTTGCTGAGCCTTCTCCTCCTCCAGGACTGTGCTAGAGAGACAACACACGGATTTAAGGGGTGTGACAACCAGGCCAGCACACCAGACCCCCCACGCCGCATCGCCGGTCGGCTGACGCTGGATGACAGCAGTAACAGAATGACCCTGCACACTGAGGGAAGAAAGATCAGGTTTCTCACTCTTCACAAGATGAGTCTAGAGTAGCACTGGCCCAAAAAGGCAAGTCAATTTAAACACAGAAAAAGCTAAGCAGCAGCTGGCAAGAAAGGAGCCGGGGGAGAGCAAGGGGGACAGGCACGAGGAGCCGCCTGTGTGACCCACTCATGCTGAGCAAGCCCAAGCAGCGCCCTGCCAGGCGCTCGCACACCCCAGGACAGAGGCTCCCACAGACCGTGACCGCACCGGCTCATTATGCAATCCATCAGGAATCTGGCCAACGTCTCCCTCAACTTCTCAACACTCTCTCTACGTCCAGCCTCAGCAGTACTGATCTGACCGAAACGCAAGAACAATGCGCAGGCATTCCGGCGCTTCGAAAGGACATCTGCTTCGAAGCAGAGACGCCGTGGCCAGCAACACGGCTACTTACCACCACTCGCCCACTCAGCCCCGCGGCCCGGCCGCCGCCTCAGTGCCTGCTGGGCGGCCTCTGGGTCTTGGCGCTTTGCCACCCCAGACTCAGCGCAGCCGGAGCGGACTCTGCTGGCTTCCTACTCCCTGTGGGTTCCCCAGGGCTTCCGCGGGTGGCAGGTCTTTGCAGGCTTCATCCTAACATGGCCAGCAGCTCTTCCTACATGCCCTCAACTCCAGAGTTCTCATCCTGAAGCTCACTAGTTCCTGGCCCCCTGGTATACAGCGCAGTAAATAACCACCCCAAATTACTCAGGAAAGAGTGACATCAGCAGCACAGACTCTTTCTAATCTGGGAGTTTGCGCAGCTGTTTAAAAAGACAGTCCTGCTTGGCTGGAGGCCACAGTGCTGTTTCTCACAAAACCAGTGCAGGCAGTCGCCTTCCCAGTCAGGGACAGACAGACAGACAGAACTCATTGCATAACTGCCCTGAGTCAGCAAGCCATCACCACAGATGGGCAGGACTTGTCTCTTCCTCAAAGAAACCACCGCGTCCGCGTTCAAAGATCCTGCCCCACGACATGTTGGTCTCCTTCTGCTCCACTCAGCAAACACCAAGAAACTAACAATACATGTGCAAGGCCCAGGTGAGCCTGGTTGCGTGGGGTGGCTGGGAGATGGCCGCGCACTGTCTGGGGACCAGGACGCTGGACAGGCTGGGCTAGTTGGCTCTGCCCTATCCCTTCGGCCAGAATAACACTCAACTCAGGCTGCTGAGGGATCTGAGACAGCGGCTTGAGCCTGTCTGTCTACTACGTTTGTCATGAAGTGGAGGCTGTTCTATAACCTTTTTTTTTTTTTTTTTAAATTTACTTATTTACTTGAAAGGTAGAGTAAGAGAGAGAGGGAGAGACAGAGATCTTCCACCTGCTGGTTCACTCCCCAGATGTCCGCAACACGCTGCATGCTGGCGGCTTAACCCACTGAGCCACGATGCCGGCCCTGCGTAACTTTTCTAACAGCACATTTGCTCCAGGGCTGCTCACCTGCCACGCGTTTGCCAACTTTGTTTGGTGCAAGGTATACACGACAAGGTCTCTGTGGTGCTCTGTCTGTGGGGAAGGACTCAAGCCTGAAACACAGGATGAGTCCTGAGATGGAGACAGCTGGGCCTGGGCTGTTCTGGACGGGCCCCAGCAGCACTCTGGCCTCTGAGGGGTCAGGGCAGACAGGCCCAGCAGGCCATGGTCGAAACCTCTCCGAGGGCACAATGCTGCAGAGCTGAAGCACAGCCTGGAAATGGGCACCTGCGCATTCAGTTTTCTTTGCACACTTAAATTCACGGCTCTATATCTTTGCCACACATGACTCTATCCATCCAAGCATCATTCACAGAACGGAGTACCTCTCTAACTACCTCTCTCAGAACAAAAACGAAAATTAGGGAGGCGGAGCTGTGGTGTAGCAGGTAAAGCTGCCACCTGCAGTGCTGGCATCCTATATGGGTACCAGCTCCACTTCCAATCCAGCTCTCTGCTGTGGCCTGGGAAAGCTGCAGAAGATGGCCCAGGTCCTTGGGCCCCTGCACCCACGTGGCAGACCTGGAGGAAGCTCCTGGCTCTGGATTGGCACAGCTCCAGCCGTTGCAGCCATCTGGGGAGTAAACTAGCAGATGGAAGACCTCTCTCTCTCTCTGCCTTTCAAATAAATAAGTAAATAAATCTTTTAAAAAAAATAAAAATTAGACAATCCAATGCCTCTGAGATTTAAGAAGTTTTTAAAAATGCAAAGAGCGATTACAAATTTCCAATCAAATATCTATCCCCTGTAGTTAATGACTACCATTCCCATGAGGAGTTCCGAGTATTCTGAATAAATTGAAATATAATTTGAGTTTGAAGTGTAACACAGAAACCTGCCTTTTGGAAAAGTCTTTAATCATGCATGAAGCGTTAGTGATACACTAACTCTTACATGCCTGCTAACACATGCTCACTGATATATAATGCTCTTAACATCAACAAACATCAAATTACCACGTATGGAATAGGAGTGGAGACGTGTACGAGCGAACATGGCTTCTACCGGGTGCCCGTCATTGTCAGTGGGAACGTGGGAAGGTGCATCTTAACTCCTTGATCAGATGTAGTGCCCATCTATCTACATACACTCGTCATTGTCAGTGGGAACGTGGGAAGGTGCACCTTCACTCCTAGATCAGATGTAGTGCCCATCTATCTACATACACTCTTCATTGTCAGTGGGAACGTGGGAAGGTGCACCTTCACTCCTAGATCAGATGTAGTGCCCATCTATCTACATACACTCGTCGACTATAAACAAATATATCTTTACCTAAAAAGGTTACTGAAGGGGTGGTGCATGTACATGCACACAAGGTAACCGCCACTGCTAATTAATGCATTAATTGTATTTGAAAGGTGGGAAGGGAGGGAGGGAGGGAATGAGAGAGAGATCTCTTCTCCACTGGTTCACTCTCTGAATGCCTGCAACGCTAGCTGGGTCTCCGGCGTGGGTGCAGGCCCCAAGCACTTGGCCATCCTCTGCTGCCTCCCAGGTGCGTTAGCAGGGAGCTGTTCAGAAGTGGGTGGCCAGAACTCAAACCAGAACCAGCATCTCCCCACCCGCCAACATGCACCCTAACTGCTGCGCCAAAGGCCAAGCCCTACCGCTGTTGTAAAGAATGAATCATTCCTCGTTTCTCCTCTCCCTTGTCTATCACCCTTCTTCCTGTGTGCCCAGAGAAGCTTTCTCTAAGCTCATATGTTTTCTACTGCCTCTCCTATGGTTTTCCTTGTCCAGAAGATTTCTCTACTGTATCTGACCAATACTTACTTGTGTGCAAGCAGTCAAATGGTAGTTCCTCTGCAGTTTTCCCCAAAGCTTCCAACTCCCTCTAGGCTGAGTCACCTTACTTCCCCACACATTCCCGAAGCTTAATCTGATTTTAACATTTGTCAAAACGTACAGGGGCCAGTGATGTGGCACAGTGGGTCAAGCCACTGTCTATAGTGCTGGCATCTCGTATGGGTGCCAGTTTGGGTCCTGGCCGCTGCACTTCCAATCCAGCTCCCTGTTAATATGTCTGAGAAGGCAGCAGAAAATGGCCCAAGTATCTGCACCCCTGCACCCCTGCGGGGGACCTGGATGGAGCTCTTAGCTCCTGCCTGGCCCAACCCTGGCTGCTGTGGACACCTGGGGAGTCAACCAGTAGATGGAAGATGTCTCTCTCCCTCTCTCCCTGTAACTCTTTCAAATAAATAAACCTTGAACAAAAAAGTACAGTACATTCCTATTTTCTTGACTTTTTTTCTCGCTAGGCCAAGAACTGTTACTTGAAGGTCTACTTTTACCTGCTCAGGTGCAACGTAGACTCCGAACTGTAAATGCTTTGATAAGTGACCAGTGAATGGCTGAGTGAAGCTGCGTCAGCATAGAGGTCCAATGACAGGTGCAGAGACATGACCACACTTCCTGCGCCCCCAGCAGGCCCCACAGAAATGCCTGCGAGCTGCTGCCACAAGGTGACTACTGGGTGGGTGGCCAGTCTGAGGCCTTGGACAGAGAGGCCTACTTGGCATAAAAGAGAAACACATCCAAGTGTCCTTTTCTCAGCCACCTGACCCTTAAAACAAACAGCAGATTCTGAGTAAGAATTTCCTAACATTTTATGGCTTTAAATATCTGAAAAGTCCATAAAAATTTTGGGGGAAAAAAGTCAAGAAAAAAATTTAAAAACTGTCCTTTCTTCTACTCTTTTAAATAAGTAAAATACTGGCAAGCCGTGAGAAGGCTAAGTTGGACACAGATGAGGCAACGGGAACTGAGTTAAACAGGCCCCACCAGGCAGTCTTACGACCCATGAGCTGTTTGTGGGATCACCCCTATCTTTTTAGAAAAGACTTATTTATTGGAAAGGCAGAGTGAGTGAGTGTGTGAGAGACAGGTGTCTTCTGCCTGCTGGCTCACTCTTCGAATGGCTGCAGCACCTGGGGCTGGAGCCTGGCTGCAGCCAGGAACCCCACGAGTGGCAGGGGCCGAGCCTGGGGCCATCTTCTGCTGCCTTCCCGTGTGCATTAGCCGGCAGCTGGGTGGGAGACAGAACAATCAAGACTTGAACCAGAGCTCCAATACGGGGCGGGGGTCATAAGCTGTGGTGTAACCCACTTACCACAATGCCACCCAGGTCTCCTTGATCTCAAGGCTACGTACTGTCCCCCAAACCATCCAAGCAGATTCTGTGAAGTTCCTGGTGAGCCCCTCTCGGGAACTCTTACCCCGGCACTTACAGTCTGAGCTACTGAATGTGCCTACCGACTCCCTCCCGTCAGCCGCAATCACGTCGTGGGCAGCTGTGCTGAGACCCAGAAGTGACGCTCATCACAGATGTGGCCCCTCGGAGAACACGACAACTGGGAAGTGAGCTCCTTCAGCCTCAG